TGGGCCAGTCCTTTACTCTGTGACTTCAGTCTTCCCGCTGTGAGTGGGATCATCGGAGATTTATGAAGAGGGTTGCTAAGCGGCCAAGACCCAACAGCTCTTGTAGCATTCAGGTCCCGCTGTTAATGCCAGGTCGTCAAGGCCTCCGCTACTCTTGGGAGTACAGGGGCCGCCTCAGGGTTACTGCTGCTCTCCTCAGAACACTCAGCCCAGAGAACATCCTCTGTCTCCTGCATCATGTTGGGTTCCCACCTCTTCCAAGATCCGTTTCTACTCCAGAACCAACTCTCCCGGATGATACCTGGGCGATAACTGCAGTGTGAGCTTCATCTCTGGAGGAACAAATAGTCCCAGCCCTCATTCAGCAGATGAACCTGAGCGGCCGCTGGAGCTTAAGGGTCCCAGCACTGGGATAGGATTGTTTCCAGTACCTCCACATCCTCTGAACTCCGCGGCTCCTGATTGGCCAGCCCTGACCTAGACTCCGGGTACCCCCGTCTTTTCCACAGCTCCCCCTGTCGGCTTCCTCCGCGTGTAACAGCCCCAGGTCCGCGTGTCTGTCCTGAGTGTCCGCAGCGGACACCCACAGCTCCTCTTCCTCTGCTGCTACCCACCGGGCAGTGCCTTCTTTTCCCGTGGGTCCTGAACCTCCCCCAGCCCCTCCCGGCCTCTCTGCTCCCCGAGGTTCCACTGAAGAGATCATGGGTTAGGTAGTCCCTCCTGGGTGACGTCTGCGTGTGTCTGCATGGTGTCCAGAGCCTCATGCCAGTGACCCCCTGGTTCCTGCTGCACGTGGGAAGAAAGATTTTGCATGCGCTCGGTGTTTTGGTTGGTGTCATCGAAGCAGTGGGTGCTGCGATACTTCTGTAGCAGTCTGCACTGTAATACAGATCAGATTGTAGGAGGAATGTGGTAAGAACCTCGAACCCGACATCCGGCCTAGCCAAGGGGGTTGGATCTCGCTTCTTGGCCCGATGGACTCTTGGGGCTCCTTTCAGGTAGTGCAGGTGGGAAGTCTAAGGCCATCTGGACCCCAGTGTCTGAGTTCGAAAGTTCCTATGGAGCCTCAGGCCACAGGGACAACTGGGGTGGGGGTGGGGTTGGGAAGGGTGCCTCTCAGGGAAAGGGCAGGAGCTGGGCTATGGTGGCGGCCTGGCTGGGACTTGTGTCCCTGTGACAAGGCAACCCGCTCTCTCGCCTCGGGGGCCTCTCAGCCAACTCAGCCCAGGCCGCTGTCTGACAGCAGGAACATCCCCACCGGCCCAGGGCTGCCCACGCTGCCCCTTCCTGCTGGAAGACAGAGCTTTAATAAAGGGCTGGACTTCAGGGCCTGCATCTGTGTCCGTCTTTCTCTTGCAGGACACTGGTACTTCCACAGAAGCACGGGGACAGGCCCATCCCGCTGGGCAGGAACAGGACCGAGGGCCCGTGGCCGGCGCTGTGTGTCTGCGCGGCCGTGACCTGGTGCGGCCCCAGTGCCCGCTGCTCCCTTTGACCCCGCACGCTGTGCCCGTTTGATCTGCTCTCCTTCTCTCCTGTCTCTCCCGTCTCTTCTCTATGCTCCCCCTGCTGCCGCCCGGTGCTCCTGCTTCTCCCCACGCGGTCCTGCACAGGCCTTCCGGGTCTTTGTCCAACTGCCCCCGCCCACCTCCCACCCCCCCACTCACCCACAGGCTCCCGCGAGGTTCCCGAGTGAACGTGATTGGCTGAGCGAGTCCACGCAGCGCCCGCTGATTAGCTGCTGGTGGGTTAGCCTGGATAGGGGCAGGGTCAGTGTCCACCCGGGCGCCTGGAGAATATTTAGCTGGACGTCGGGACTTTACCCTCGAGAGAATCCTGGTGTGACTTACTTACTGGTGGCAGAAAAGCGTCTCTTCTAAGAGGAGTTTCCACGTCCCACCTTGTTTGCAAACTAAAACTTTTCTTCTCTCTTTTCCTTCTCCTTTTCATTCTTCTTCTTCTCGTTCTCCTTCTCCTTATTGTTCTTCTCCTCCTCCTTCTCTTTATCCTCCTCCTCCTCCTCCTCCTCCATCACCTCCTCTTCCTCCTTTGGTAAGTGTGCGAAAATTGTGCCGTTAGAAATGGCGGGTTCCGGCAGGCGGGAGAGAGTGTCCGGGTGAGTCGCTGCTGTGGCAGGGTCAGCAGTGAGTTGGCCGTGGCACCAGCAGACTCTCAAGGCCTCAGAGAAGGTCTGGGGTTGGCCTTAACGCCTCGGACACCATCGTTCCCGGAACCAAGGGTCTGCGCGGCACCACGTCCTGGGCCAGGGGCATTGCCTGAGACCCCACAGTCACACGACCCCCATGGGGCAGTTCAGTGAGTGGTGACTGTGTGGACGTTCCTAGGGGTGATGGTGCCGGAGCTGCTTGGCCTGGGTGCAGCAAGATGGCGGCTCAGGGAGGACCCCCATCCCCCACCTATGTCCCTGCTCTGTGTCAATGGGACACACTGGGATGAGCCCAGAAAGATGATCCAAGGGGTAGAGTCAGGAGAGCGGGCCCTGCCCCTACACCAAACTGGGCGTCCTTCTTTGGTTCTTGCACCCCGCAGTCCCCCCTCAGCTGCTCTGCTCCTGCCTCAGAAACAGGATCCCCCTGACCTGCCCCAGCACCCCTGAAAGCTCCTACTGAAACTTTGCAACCAGCTGGCAGAAGGAAGAGTGAGTGACCCCAAGTCTCCAAATGCAGGAGGCGGATCTGGGCTGTGACGGCCCAGAGCTGAGGGACTTGACCCTTGGGGAGTCTAGAACCTTCGCTATAGACAAACAGCAACTTCTGGAAACCCATCATAAGTGGGAGCTCAAGGTGTCCTGGTTTCCAGAACCATCAATTAAAAGTGCCGGAAGTGAGCCTCAGGCTAGACCTCCTCAACATGCTCGGGCACAGGAAGTGCTTCCTCTCCCCGTTGCCCTGCCTCCCTCACACTAGGGTCCAACTGTTTGCACCCAGGAAAGGCACCTTAGAAGGTGTGCTCCGAGCCTGGGATGTGGAGTCGTTTTTATTGTGGAAGTTGTGATCCCACTGTACGAGGGCCTGCTCCCAGTAGTGCTCAGGGCCACCCAGGGCCCAGGATTGACTCAGAGCCTTGAAGGGCTCACATAGCTGCCACCCCTGAGCTGGGCCTCTGGCCCCCATGTGATGGGATATTTTTCTTTGGGTTTATGGGCCATGCCCAGTAGTGCTTGGGACTCGGTGTTTGGGGGTGGATTGGAGGTGGGGAGAAACATGCGTGTCCCAGGGAGCATCCGGGTTTCCTGCATGTGTCCCCACCCACACCCCGCCCTTCTAGGTAGTTTCCGAATTGCTTCCAGAGTCCAGACCTGCAGGGGTGCCCGAAGGCCTTTGGGGTCAGCACTTCCGCATGTCCTGGAGGGGTTCAAGGAATCTCATATGGCGTAGGACCCTCTCACTACCATATCATGGATGGATTCAATCTCTAAGCAGTTCTGTGTTTTCACTTTGGGTTTTCTTTTTCTTGTCACTGTCCTTCGTGTGTCTTGTCACCCTTTGTGTGTTTCTTGTCATTTCCCCACCCTTCCTGGTCTGGAATCATTACAGACATTTCAACAAACGGCCTGATGCTGGGACCCACCCCCCACCCCCGCCTCAGAGTCTCCCACACTATAAATGCTGGTCACCTAAGGTGGACAGCTCTTGTCACAGATGAAGAGCGGGTCCTTTCCTGGTTGAAGACAGGTTGGGGTGAGGCAAAGGCAGAAAAGGGAAGTTGCTCTCAGGAACATGAGAAGGAGGGACTCAGCCCTTTCCCTAATAATCACTGGTTTGGAAATCTGTGCGTGGAGAGTGAAAGGCAGTCGGAACGGGTCCAGAACCCAGCGCTACACCCCTGCTCTGTCTCTCATTTCCATCTCACAGTCTTAATCCTCCAGGGAGACCCTGCCTCAGCCTGTTCTCCAAGGACAGGTCCCCTGCAGCTGTGAAGTCTGTGAAGGGATTCTGTTGTGGGGGTCTCTCCTGTAGGGTTCAACTTGTGGGGGTCTCTGCTAGGGGGGAGTCTCTGTAGGAGTGTTCTCTGTTGTAGGGGTGTCATAGGAGAGAACTTGGGGTCTGGTGGGGTGTCACCTGGGAGCAACCATCTCCCTCCTCACCAGGCAGGTCTGAGTTTGGATTTCCGCTGGGTCTGGGTGTGTGTTTCTGGAGTATAGGCCTGAGGGGTGAGGGCCTGGTCTCTCCTGACAACCGGGAAGCAGGCAGCTCTCTTTCCATGTGGGGTTCAAGTACACAGGCACCAGGGAACCCATCTGGTCCTCACAGAGCTGTCACTTCTTCACACCTTCACCCCAGAGCTAAGAAACGTCCCCATGGCCTGTGGGCTTAGGGACAACAGGTGCCCGTCCCTGAGAGAAAGAACGGGTGTCCCCTCTGTTGGTCACGGCGTGAGGGGCAGCCTGCACCAGGGTCAGCTGTGCTCCTTACTGACAAGCTCAGCCAGTGATTTCATCAAAGAACCTTGTCACCTGCAGGCCCTGGGGTTCAACTGCTGCTCCTCCAGTCCCTTGTGCCAGCCTCTGCCCCGCCACCCCCTTGCCCCACCCTCTCCCCTTCTTGCTCTCTTTCCTCCCTCCCCAGTCGCTGAGGAAACCCTGGTCCCAGCCTGAGGGCGGAGGTCTAGGGCCTCTGCTCCATCTCGGGCTCCAGAATGAGCCATTTCCCTGCAGCAACCCTGCTCCGGAGTTCGGGCGTAAGCCTTTGAGGAGGTCGGATAGGGGACCCTGGCACATGTCTGTGAGGATGGGGTGGGGGCTCTGTTCCTCTGACCCTGGTTGTTCGGTGTCTCCACTCAGGCCAGGCAGGTTTCTGCTGGGTCTGGGCCTCCTGCACCCTTCCTGTCTGCCGCCCTCCGTACCACCCACGCACATGCTCTGCCTGAGCCCCGCTTTCCCTCCGCTCTGACTCACCCTCCTCCCCTGTACACTCTGACCTTGCACCCTGAAGTATCCTCTGCTTAACCCCTGAGTATCTGCATCTGCCTGTCACGACCCTGCCTGGGGGGGCATAGCAGTTTTGGTGTCAACTTTAATGAGCCTCATTTATGACACAGGTACACCAGGGCACGGTTGAGGAAAAATAAAACTCTGCAGTGCAACGAAGTCTGAACCACAGGCAGCGAATCTCACTGAGAGGAGAATGGCCTCGGTAAGTCTCCAGAGCCCCTTATTTTAACTTCAGAAACTTGGCGCTGATCCTAGTGCAGGGTCGGGGTGCTCGCGCCATCTTTTTGCCACCCCCAAAGTTGACACTAAGCCCTTGGGTCAAAGGTCTTCTTCCATTGTTTTTTTCCCCCTGAGTCTCAGTGGGCAGCGCCTCCCCACCCCCAGCAGCGCAGCCCCTGATCAGGGCACCTGGCTCAGCTGAGGCAGTGGCAGCAGGTATGGCAAGAGCAGGGGCACCCCCAGAAATTCCTATGAAGGCGCCCCCATTCTGCAGGCACCAGGACACAGTCTCCCTGCTCCTGCTGCTCCCCAAGGGCACAGCCCCCCAAGCTCTCCAGCTCTCCTCGGGCTCCCCTTCTGCCTCTTGCCTGGCCCAGATTACAGTTGCCCCGGGCTGGCCCCTGTATGTGGGGGTCTCGGGGTGCGTGGAAGAAACACTCAGATACAGCCTCGGCGTCTCTACTGGGGGAGGGCTGAAAGGTTCCTGCACTTCCTGACCCTGAGTCCCCTCCTCTGTGGGGGCAACTCTGACTCCCGGGAGTGAGGCCCATGTGGGCAGGGGCTGAGCTCATTTTCGCAGGCTGTCCTAGGGGTCGGAACACGAAGTCACCTGGGACCAGGAGATGGGGGGAACAATGGCCTGGGGGAACGTCTAGACCTCCTGGTAACCAGGCCTCCTTCACTGACACAGACCTGCTCCCTGTAGGGAGGGGGCTCTTGCCCACTGTGCAGCCCTCCCTGTCAGCTCCTCTGGGGATCCTGTCCCCCTGTCCCCATAGGCTCTATCCCTGTTCAAAAACCCCAGGAAAAGGTGGGCTTCACTTTTGGTGAGGGGAGCTTCCACCTCTTTGTTTCTTGCAGGGCAAATTGCCTTCATCTGTGGCTAGGCTGGGCTCCTTGTAGGTGTGGTGGTTGTAGAATGTTCTAGAACCTTCCCTGAAAGTACTCACTTTTTTCTCTCTCTCTGTTTGTCTTTTACAATTGATCATTCCTGAGCCCATGCCCGGAGACCTGATTGAGTTTATCAGCGGTTGTTTCATGCACTGGGCCGTGTGCGTGGGACCTAATTCTGTAGTCCATTTGACTGTCGATGGTAAGGACAGGGTCTCTGTAGAGGATGGGCTGAGGTGACTGTGGGTTTGATTCACACTGTGTGGGTCTCCGCTGCAGGCCTGGCCAGCAGGCACAGCACCGATGCCACATGACCAGGGCTGTCCCCTGTAGGTCCATTGGCTGTTGATCACCTATAGACAGAAGTTTCTGCACAGGCTATGGACACGTCCCATTAGAGTGGGGGGGGGGGGGGGGCTCATCCAGCCCCTGTTGGGTACATAGTGCTTCCCAGCCCAGTCTCCTAGTATTTGCTGATCTGCAAGGACATGGGGGACAGGAAGCAGGGTTCCCCCAACACTCATACTACCATGCGGCCATGGAAGAAGCATGGCTCTGCTGACAGTGGGTGTCCCCATGTTCCGTCTCTCCTCTGAACTACACCTTCTGAAGTTCAATAAGAAGCTCCCTAGGGTGGGCTGGCAAGAGAGCAGGTAGGGACGGCCTTGGCAGGGTGGACCCAACCCCCTCTTCTCAGTCTCTTGGCTTAGAGTTTTGACTGAGATACTGGATTCCCCAATCAATATTCCCACATAAGGTTCTTTTGTTTTTGCATACATAGATTTTCATTTCCTGGGAGTGCAAGTAAGAAGCCCCCATGCTTCTGCCTTTGGTCCAGAATCTCTCTAGGAGTAGGGCGCCCCCTATAGGAGAGACAAGAAGCACATTGGGCTGGGCTGGGCAGGATGGGAAGGAGAAGGGAGAGATGTGGGGATGCTTGGGAGCCTGGATGGGTGGGGGGAGACGGGACTGGGGAGGGGTTAGGGAAAGACTCAGAAGACTATGCAGGAGAGGAGGGATGATCTGAGGGGGAAATCTGAGGTCAGAGATTTTGAGGCAGCATGAGGACCAGGCTATGTTTTATGCATAAGAATGAATCCTTGGTATAAATTTCAGGAGGCCTTCTGGATCTGTGCCCAGGAGGCCTGACTCCTCACCACAATTCTCTGGCCCCTCTGCTCCAGGGCTCCTCTGGGCCCGAGGCTCTGGTGCTGCTCAGATCCTGCAGAGCGCTGCCAACCCAACTTTTCTCCAGACCATGTGGTGCCAATAAGGAACCCGGGTCAGGGCACGCCGAGCTTGCACCCCAACCACGGTCAATCTCCAGAACCCAGAATATATAGGGTATCCCAGGACAGGCTATGGCTACCCCATGAGTGCTGCAGGCTCTACTGCTTGCCCCATGCCTTTCCTGCCCAAACTCAGTGTTCGTGTTCCTCTTGTGCCTGAAACTCCCCTGATGGTCAGGTGAGATGCCAGCAGGGGCTGATTCTCTCCTCTGGGCTCTCCTTTGACCCGCCTGCTCCTGCAGCATGAGGGAGCTGGGCCTGACAGTGTGGAATTGTCCTTTGGAAGAGAACCAATGAAGAAGGAGAGCGGAAACCCCCTTTCTGCACAGATAGCTCCTGGCACAGCTGAACCAGACACTGAAACCAACCCAGCTGCTCTCCTGGGGCGTCTTTAGAGGAGAAACAGGAAGCTTGATCCTGGGGAGTGTGGGCATCTCCATTCCTAGACCTTGTGCCTGGCCCTGCTGAGGCCTTCTCGGTGGGGCTCAGGGTGGTGCAGGGTTGGTGACTGGACACAAGGTAGTGGGATGGTGGGCCGGGACTAGGAGCCAGTTTCGGCCACCTTGGCCCAATGCCCGTGTCACCCAGCTTCATGTGACAGTTCCTGAAACATCCAGTCAGGGCATTTGAAGAACTCCCGGTCTCTAATTCAGAACCAGCAGTGAGCGGTGGCTTGGGTCAGGGAGTAGGGCGTGGCCGTGTGGGAGACCTGGTTTCTCCCAACTTCCCTCTGTCCCTTAGAAATGAAATGGCAGGAAGAGAGTCTGCGGACTCCAAAGACTTCGCCAGAGACCTAGGCCCAGTCGGTCCCGTTGTGGGTCGGTGTGGGGGATGTCAGACTTTCTGGGATTATCCCCTCTGTGGGGAATTATGGCATTGCATGACTTCCTTGGGCTGGTGGACTTCCTGAGGTTGTACAGGGTTAACCCTGAGTCCTCTCTTGTGATTCCATAGAGTGTTGGACTCTGGATGTGGATCTGAATACGACGGAAACTGTCCAGTGCACCCGAACCATGGTGAAGGAGGAAGAGTTGTCCAAGGTGGCTGCGGGGTTCAAGTACCTGGTCAATAACAAACACGATGGTAAGCGCCGAGTGCGATCTCCTGAGAATATCGTCAAAATGGCCATGGAACTGGTGGGGAAGGAGTGGCCCTACAGACTCACCCAGGAGAACAGCGAGCACTTCGCCATAGAGCTGCGCTATGGAGAACCCATCTGTAAGCAGGTGCGTCCTCAGCCCGTGCCCTCGTCCCAAGCAGTGTCTCCACTGACCATGCCTACCTGGGCAGACAGAAGCCACTCTCCCCCTTCTCAATTGTCACCATCTGGGTGGGAGGTGGAGGGGCACCAGCATGGGTTCAGCACATGGGCTGAGCTGGACCCACTACTCAGAAGCAAATTTTCTCACCCACTTCACAAATGGAGAAAGTGAGGCCCACATTGGTTCAGGTATCATCCACACACTCGAACTTGCCCTGTGGTGGGATCTGACTCCAGGGCAGCTGCCACACAGGCCTTGATATCCATAGAGGGGGTCAGGGAGAGGCAGCACCACAGTGGAGACCAGTTTCACATTGGCTAGAGCCTGACCCTGGCCAGGGAGTCGAGTGCCAGGGAACAGGGCTGTCAGGTTGGACAAAGGAGAGGCCAGGCTGTGGGTGAAGAGGCAGAGCACATGCCTGGCACGCATTAGACCCTAGGCTGCACCCCACGCACTTCAGGGGCAGGCAGAGAAATACTGCGTGTGAGCAGGAGAGAAAACAGGAGTGGAGGAATTGGAGGGATCCTGACCTGGCAGAGGAGGCAGTTTGGCCACAGGCACTGCCCACAGCTTGAGCATCCCATTGCCCCGCGCTCAGGCTCAGTGTCTCGCGGTCATGTCCAGTCCAATGGGCACTATTGTCTACCAGGGTCAGGTCAGCCTCTCTGTCTCTTTGGGAAAAGCTGACATTGTTGACCAAAAGCAACTACTCACTCACTGACGATTACTGGTTTTGGCATATCGAATACACAAGTGAAGATAGATGGTCGGCAACTACACCACCTTCGCTTTGCTGATGACATTGTTTTAATAACACCAAACATCAGCCAAGTGGCACAAATGCTGGCCGCCTTCAACCGTGAGTGTGGAAAGGTCGGACGACAGCTGAATCTTACGAAGACAATGTTTATGAGAAACAGCCTCGTTCCTGACGCCCCATTCGCTCTCACGGAACGACCATCTCCGAATGCAACAGCTATGTGTACCTAGGTCGAGAAGTCAACATGACAAATGACCTGGCACCCAAGCTGCGCAGGAGGAAGAGAGCGGATTGGAACGCCTTCAAGAGCGTCGAAGAAATAGCTAAGAGGACGAAGAACCTCCGGCTCCAGGCACATCTCTTTGATTCCACTGTTCTTCCTGCATTAACATATGCCTCAGAGACCTGGGCCCTAAGCAAACAGGATGAGAACGCTATTCGGGTCTCCCAAAGAGGAATTGAAAGAGCTATGCTTGGAATATCACGTTTCACTCAAATGAGAGAAAGAATCCGGAATTTCAACATCCATCGACGATCAAGAATCAGGGACGCTGTCTCGTTTGCCAAGATGTCAAAAATCAGATGGGCTGGTCACATAATGAGATTTAAAGACGACTTCTGACTAGAGCTGTTACCGACTGGATTTCACGGGATGTCAAAAGACCGCATGGCCGCCCACCTACCAACTGGTCAGACTTCTTCATCAAGATCATGAATGATATATTTGAGGCTCTTCATGTTCCTAGAGCGAACAGGTGCCATTGGGCTACACTAGCACACGACAGGGACAAATGGAGACGTTACTACTGGCGCCCGCTCAAGCAAATCGATGATTAACGGGAAGTCAAGTGATCAAGTGACTCACTGACAAGTTCCGTCTCCCAGTGGCCATCTCCAAAGGGAGAGAGGCTACGGGCGACCCCTGGAGTTGGGTCTTGTCTGCGCAGAGGCAACTCCCCTGGGTCCTCCCTGCTGGTGTCCAGGATGCTGACCCCTGAGACCTCATAGGGACACTCTAAGGGGGCACTGGGACCCTGTAAGGAGGTGGAAGGCCCTGGAGAATGGTGACGTGACCAATGGGAACCCACCCCTTGGGGAATGAGGAGCCCAGGAAGGAGCCAGGCAGGTACTGAGACTGTTCTGGGCACCCGGTGCTCTCCCAGCCCGTGTGATGTCTCGGGTCACTCTGAGGAACTGTGGTGTTGACCGTCTCTTTAAACTCCTCTGAAGGAGTGTTGTGATCACACATACATACGTACACACACACACACACACACACACACATACACACACACACACACATATCCTTAAGTGCACCAAAGGTCACAAAGGGCTGTATCCACAGCAGCGAATCTCACCGAGAGGAACAATGGTCTTGGGAAGTATCCAAATGCTCTTTATATTAAGAGCAACAAAATGGGGCTACTTTGTCCAGGAGCTGAAATGCTCGCTCTGTCTTTCTGCCACCCTGATGTTGACTCTGACCCCTGGCCTTAGTCCACCATTTTTCCCAAGACCTCAGTGGGCAGCACAGGCCCTGCTCAGGGCACGCGGCTCAGCTGAGGCTGCGGCAGCAGGTGTGGCCAGACCAAGGACACCCCCAGAGACTCCTGTGACAGGGCCCCCATTCTGCATGGGACCAGGGCACAGTCTCCCTGCTCACGCAGCTCCACAAGGGCACAGCCCCCCAAGCTCTTCAGTTCTTCCAGGGCTTCCCCGTCTGCCTCTTGCCTGGACCGAGGTTGCAGCTGCCCTCGACTGGCCCCTGTGATTGTGGGGGTCTCGGGTGCAAGGGGAGAAGCACTCAGATACAGTCTCGGTGTCTCTTCCAGGGGAGAGACTGACAGGCTCCTGCCCTTCCTGACCCTGAATCCCTTCCCCTGTGGGTGCAACTCTGACTCCCAGGAATGAGAACCCGTGGGCAGGGGCTGAGCTCAGCTTCCTCATGCGGGCCTGGGGGTCAGAACATGAGGTCATTCAGGACCAGCAGATGGGGAGGACGATGGCCTAGGTGAGTATCTAGACCTCCTGGTGACCAGGCCTCCCTCGCTGACACAGACCTGCTCTGTGGAGGAAGGGGCTCCCGCCCACTGTGCACACCTCCCTGTGAGCCCCTCTCACGGCTCCTCTGGGAACCCTGTCCCCCGTCCCCAATAAGCTCTATCCCCCTCCCAGAAACCTCAGGACATGGGGTTTCTTCTCTCCTGGTGAAGGAGTCCCCTCCACCCATTTGCTGCAGAGGAGAACAGCAGGATTCAGCAACTGACCTGGCTCCTAGCAGGTCTGGAAGATATAGAATATTCTAGAACAGTCCCTGTAAAGGACTCTCCTCCTCCATTTGTCTCTGTTTTTTGTCTGCAGAACAGACTTGGTCCTGAGCCCATACCTGGAGACCTGATTGAGATTTCCAACTATAGATTCAAGCACTGGGCCGTGTATGTGGGAGATGGTTTTGTGGTGAAACTGGTTAACATCGGTAAGGACGGGGTCTGTAGAGGACATGCTGAGGTGACTGTGAGTTCAGTTCACATTGTGCTGGCAAGCCTGGCCAGCCGGCACAGCACTGAAGCCTCATGATCAGGGCTGGCCACTGTAGGCCCATCAGCTCCTGATCTTCTGTAGCCGGAAGTTCAAGGACAGGCTGTGGACACGTCCGGTTGGAGAGTGGAGGGTCAGTCAGCACCTGTCCTGGGGACACGGCACTTCCTGAACCCAGCATCCTCTGTAGCTGCTGACCTGCAGGAACAGGGGACAGGAAGCAGTGGCTCCCTAACACTCACCACTGCCACAGGGTCACAGAAGGAGCAATGACCCACTGACTGTGGATGTCCCTGCATTTCTCTCTCCACTTAACTGGAAACTCTGAAGCTCAAGGAGAAGTGCCCAGTGGTGGGCTGGCAGTTGAGTGATGGCCCGGGCCAGTTGCCAGGTTGACTCTGTGCCGTGTCACCCACCTTCATGCGACAATTCCAGCAAAATCGCCTTGGGTCATTTAAAGGACTCCCGGCATCTGCTTCAGAACCAGGAATGGGGGGGGGGGGGGGGCCTGGGTCAGGGAGTAGGGCATGGTCGTGTAGGAGACCCGGGTTCCGTGCAGCTTCCATCTGTCCCTTAGAAAAGAAATGAGGGGAAGAGTGTCCGGGGACTCCAAAGCCTTCACCAGAGGCCATACCCAGTGGGCCCCGGTGTTAGTGGAACAGGCAGGTGTCAATTCTTCTGAGCTCTTCCCCTCCATGGGGTCAGGGGTCCTGGGGTGACTTATTGGGCTGGTGGACTCACTGTGGTTGTGCAGGGTTAACCCTGAGTCCTCTCTTGTGGCCCTATAGACACTATGATTCCGACTGTGAAATCAACTTTGGCGGCGTCTGTCCAAGACACCCAACCCATGGTGAAGAAGCTACTGCTGTCGGAGGTGGTCAGGGAGAGCGTGTACTGGGTCAATAACAAACACGATGGTAAGCGCCGAGTGAGATCTCCTCAGAACATCGCCCAAATAGCCTCTGGCCTGGTGGGGCAGGAGTGGCCCTACAGATTCAGCGAGAAGAACTGTGAGCACTTCGTCACGGAGTTGCGCTACGGAGAACCCATCTCTGAAGAGGTATGTCCTCAACCATTGCCACCATCCCCACCATGGTCCACACTGATTGTTCTGGACCAGACCGACTTCCTGTCTTGAGCTGGACAGACAGAAGCCACTGTCCCCCTTCTCAAATGTCACCGTCTGGGTGGGAGGTGGAGGGGCACCAGCATGGGCTCAGCACATGGGGCTGAGCTGGACCCACTACTCAGAAGCAAATTTTCTCACCCACTTCACAGATAGAGAAACTGAGGCCCAAAGTGCTTCAGGTATCATCCAAACTCTAGCACTTGCCCTGTAGGTGGGATATGACTCCAGGGCAGCTGCCACACAGGCCTTGATGTCCGTAGAGGGGTCAGGGAGAGGAAGCCCAGCAGTGGATGCCAGTTTTACATTGGTTTGAGCCTAACCCTGGCCAGGGATCCGAGTGCCCAGGGGACAGGGGCTGTCAGATTGGGCAGAGGAGGGGCTAGTCTGTGGGTGAAGAGGCAGAGCACATGTCTGGTATGCATCAGACCCTAGGCTGCACCCCAAGCACCTCAGGGGCAGGCAGAGCAATAGTAGGTGTGGGCAGGAGAGAAATCAGGAATGGAGGACTTGGTGGGGAGTGTGACCCTGCGGAGGAGGGGGTTTGGAGCACAGGCACTGCCCACAGCTTGGGCATCCCCTTGTCCTGCACTCAGTGTCAGTGTCTGCCAGTCAGCGTACAGTCCACTGAGCACAATAGCCCCCAGGGTAAGATCAGCCTCCCCATCTCTTCAAGAAAAGCTGACAGTGTTGACCTAAACCAACTATTCAGTCACTCCCAAAGTCCGACTCCCAGTGGCCATCGCCAGGGGCAGGGATGCTGATGGCGCCCCCGTGGAGGTTGATCCTGTCTGCACAGAGGCAGCTCCCCTGGGTCCTCTCTTATGGTGTCCAGGACGCTGACCCCTGGACACTCTAAGGGGGCACAGGGACCCCTGTAAGGAGGTCGAGGAGCCTGGAGAAAGTGGATTTGACCAATGGAAGGAGCCAGGTGGTTACTGAGACTGTTCTGGGCACCCGGATAACCAGGGAACAGCACGGTGCTGACCCCAGCCCGTGTGGTAGCTTGGCTACTCTGATGAACTGTGGTGCTGACAGTCTCTTTAAGCCCCTCTGAAGAGGTGTTGTGATCACACACACACGCACACACACACACACACACACATTCCTGGAGTGCATCAAAGGTCACCAAAGGCTGAATCTCACTGAGAGGAACAATGGTCTCGGGGTGTCTCCAGAGCCTCTTTATTTTAATAAAGAGCAAAAACTTTCACTGTCACTGTCCTCCCATTGTTCATCGATTTGCTCGAGCGGGCCCAGTAACATTGTGAGACTTGTTACTGTGTTTGGCATATCAAATAAGTTACAGGGAGCTTGCCATGCTTTGCCGTGTGGGCGAGATACTCTCGATAGCTTGCCGCGCTCTCTGAGGGGGCGAAGGAATCGAACTCGGGCTGGCCATGTTGGCTGCATGAAAGGTAAAACCCCTACCCGCTATGCAAGAGCAACAAATGGGGCTAAAAATTTTTTCAGGGGCTGAGGTGCTCGCTCTGTCTTTTTGCCGCCCCTGACGTTGACTCTGACCCCTGGTCAAAGGCCTGAGTCCATCATTTCTCCCAAGGTCTCAGGGGATAGCGCAATTCCTGTTCAGGGCACCTGGCTCAGCTGAGGCAACGGCAGCAGGTGTGGCCAGACCCAGGGCACCCCCAGAGATTCCTGTGCAGGCACCCCCATCTGCAGGGGACCAGGGCACAGGCTCCCTGCTCATGCCGCTACCTGCCCAAGCTCTCCAGCTCCTCCTGGGCTCCCCCTTCTGCCTCTTGCCTGAACCCAGATTGCAGCTGCGTGGGGCTTGTCCTTGGGATTGTGGGGGTCTCGGGGTACACTGGGGTAAACACTCAGATACAATCTCGGCGTCTCTCCTGGGGGAGGGGTTGACAGGCTCCTGCCTTTCCTGACTCCCGGGAATGAGGCCCACGTGGGCAGGGGCTAAGCTCAGTGTCCACAGGCTGACCTGAGAGTCAGAACATGAGGTCACCCTGGGTCCAGGAGATGGGTGGACAACGGCTTGGAGAGCATCTAGACCTCCTGGTGAACAGGCCTCCCTCACTGACACAGAGCTGCTCCGTGCAAGGAGGGGGCTCCCGCCTACTGTGCCCTCCTCCTTGTGAGTCTCCTCTCACAGCTCCTCTAGGGAAATTGTCACCTCTATCCTGAAGGTTCATTCCACCCCAGCCTCCCCAAGAAAGTGGGATGCCTCTCTATGGTGATGGGAGCCTTGTCCTCTACACTTCCTGCAGATGGGAAAAGGAGGATTCTCACCTGGTCCTATCTCCTTACAATTATGGTGGATCTAGAATGCTCTAGAATGTTCCCTGTCAGGACTCACCTCCCTCAATCGCTTTTTCTTTTGAAGAGAATACTCTCTCCTGAGCCCACACTTGGAGACCTGATTGAGTTTTTCCGTGGTGGGAAATTCAACAATCACTCGCTAGAATATGACCACTGGGCAGTGTATGTGGGAAACAATTGCGTGGTCCATCTGACTAACCCAGGTAAGCACGGGACCTCTCTTGAGGACGTCCTGACATGACTGTTGGTTTTGCTGACACACTGTGCTGGTTCCCTTGCAGACCTGGCCATGGGAATAGCACTGAGGCCCAATGACAAGTGCTATTCCCTGATAGCCGTCACCTGCTGATCTTCAGTTGCCAGAAATTCCAGAGAGTGGAGGTCTGAAGGAGAAATCTGGGGTTAGAAATATTTAGACAGGTTGCAGTGTAGGGTGTTTTTACACACACACACGCACACACACACACACACATGTATCTTGGTACAAATTTTAGGGACTCTTCTGGAATAATCCTCGGGAGGTGTTGAGGTCCCACCCTCAGTTCATGTTCTCCCTGTTCTGGGTTCCTCCCAGGATAGAGGCTGTGGTGATACTCAGGCCCTGCAGTGCTGGTGGTGCACTGACACACCCAGTATTGCTCCAGGACAAGGTGGCGCCTGGATGGAATTCGGTCAGAGCATGCCAAGCAGCGCCCCTCCAAGTCCCATCTCCAGAACCCAGAATATTTCTAGGGTGTCCCATCATGAGCCAGGCTGTCCCATGAGGGCGCAAAGCCTACTGGTGAGCCCCATGCCTCCCTGCCCAACTTGGTGCCCAGGTTCCTCTCCTGCATGAAGCCTCCCCTTCTGTCTGGGAGAGATGCCAGAGGGCCCGATACTGCCTTTGGGGTCTCCTGCACCCCTATCTGCTCCTGCAGCTGGAAAGCCAAACCAGACACGGTGTTGAATTGCCCTTTGGTGATGATCAATGGTGAAGGACAGCAGTAACCCCCATCCCACACAGACAGCCCCTAGAGCAGCTGAGCCAGGGCTCCTGGGGAAGCTTTAGAGGAGAACCAGGAATTTGATAAAACAGAGTTTGAATGAGCTGGAGCAATAGCACAGCGGGTAGGGTGTTTGCTTTGCACACTACTGGCCCGCCGACCCGAGTTCGATTCCTCTGCCCCTCTCAGAGAGCCCGGCAAGCTACTGAGAGTATCTTGCCCGCACGGCAGAATCCTGGCAAGCTACCCATGACATATTCGATATGCCAAACAGAGTAGCCACAATCTCACAATATTACTGGGCCCCCATAGAGCAAATTGATGAACAACGGGAGGACAATGCAACAGTGCTACAGTGCTGAGTTTGGACATCTCCTGCCCTGGACTGTCTGCCTTAGCCTGCTGAGGCCTCCCAGCTGGGGCTCAATGTATTGCAGGGTTGGTGACTGGCCACAAGTAAGTGGGTGGTAAGCTGGGACCAATAGCTGGCATTGGTCACCTGTGCCCATGTCATCCACCTTCATGCAACAATTCCAGAACATCTGTCTTGGGGTATTGGAAGAACTCCCGGCCTCTGCTTCAGAACCTGCAGTGAGCTGAGGCTAGGGTCAGGGAGGAGGGCATGGCCGTGTGGGAGACCCAGGTTCCACCCAACTTCCCTCTGTCCTTTAGAAAACAAATGAGGGGAAGAGAGTCTGGGGACTCCAAAGCCTTCGCCAGAGGTCCAGGCTCAGTGGACCCAATTTTGAGCCAGAGTCAGCAAGTGTCAGCCCTTCTGGGCTCATCCCCTCTGTGGGGAAAGGGGCCATGGGGTGACTTACTTGGGGGAGGGTGGACTCCGTGGGGTTGTGCAGGGTGACCACTGAGTCCTCTCTTGTGACCCACAGACTTTAGGAAATCAGACCCAAAGACTGTCAACACTCTGCCAGACATAGTACCCAAAGGTGTGGTGAAGAAGGAGCTGCTGTCGGACGTGGCTGCCGGGTGTGACTTCCGGGTCAATAACAAGTATGATCGGAAGTTCTCGGCACAGCCTCCTGTGGAGATCGCCAGAAGAGCCTTAATACTGGTGGGGCAGGAGTGGCACCACAGCACCTTCAATCTGAACTGTGAGACATTTGCCATGAGGCTACGCTATGGACATTCCTATTGTGCTCAGGTGTGTCCCTTTTCCCAGCCATGTCCCCATTCTAAGCCTTGTCCCCCCTGACTCTACTGTGATTGGGCATGACTGGACAGAGCACTGTGCCCCCTCCAAAGTCACAGTTGGAGTGGGAGATGAAGCAACACCAATCAGCCTCTGGAAGATGAAGATAAAACTGAGCTCAACTTATCTCTGGTGAGAAGCAGGTTCTATCACCCATTTCACGGATGGAGAAACTGAGGCTCACTGTGCTCAGTATCTGTTCACTCAGGCTAGCAGCTGCACGATAGGTGGTATGTGATCCCATGCACCAGTCACACAGGCCTGGATCTCACTGGAGGGGTCAGGGAGAGGCTGCCCCACAGTGGAGGTGGCTCCAATTCTTAGGGAGAACCTGACACTTGACAAAGATCCTAGAACCCAGAGTATGGGGGCTGTGAGGATTGGGCAGAGGAGGGGCCGAGGCTGTGGGTGAAGAGGCAGAGCAAATGCCTGGCATGCGGGAGACCCTGGGCTGCACCCGGGCACCTCAGGGGTATCAGAGCAAGACTAGGTGTGGGCAGGAGAGAAAACAGGAGTAGAGGAGTTGGAAGGGAGCATTGCGGGTCCTGTGCATGGAGGCAGCTCCCCTTGTTCCTCCCTGCTGTTGTCGGGCTACTGACCGCTGTGATCCCACACTATGGACACCCCAAAAGGGCAGAGGCTCCTTGTAAAGAGGAGGAGGACCCTAGAAAAAGGGGTTGTTTGTGTGGTAATGAGACATTTTGGGAATGTGGAGCCCAGGATGGGGCTCAGTCAGTTACTGAGGATGTCTGGGCACCTGGGTGTCTAGGGGATGTCGTGGTGATGACCCAACCTGTGTGATTTCTCAGGTCACTCTGATGAATTGTGGTGCTGACAGTCCTTTGAGCTTGTCTGGTGGGGCTTCTGTGAGCACACACACACACACACACACACACACACACACACACAACATGCACACACACGAGCACTGGGGCATCAGCCCCCTTTTTTGTGGTGCTGGAGCACATCGGGCCTCACCCTTGTAAGGCAGCTGCCTTCACCCCCAAAACTTTTCCTTTTACCCCTGGAGTGTGGTTGGATTCTTCTCTCTCCTGAGTTAAATGCCCAGTTTCACCAACATCTGCTGTTTTCGCCTTACACTATTCTCTTTGGTCTGTTTGTGGTGTTGTTTCCCTCTCTCTGAAGTCCTTAGTGCCCCTCTAAGGCATCTCAGAATCATCATGGATGAGCTTTGGATGAGTGTTTTACACAGTTACCTCAGTTTTCCCCTGGTGAAATCGGTGAAGTAGGACACAGGAGATTTATGATGAAGATTGCTGGGCGGTCAGGCAACCTCAGGGTGACAGCTGCTCTGCTGTGCGTGCCCACACAGGGAACATCCTCTGTCCCTCCTGCTCCATGAAGGGTCCCCACCCCCGCTAGGATCCACTTCCTACTCCAGAAGCCCCTTCTGGTGACACCCAGAGGATAACTACAGTGAAAGCTTCGCCTTTGGAGGAACAAACAGTCCCGGCCTTCATTCAGCAGATGAGCCTGACTTCCCACTGGTGCTGCAGGGTGCTGAGCACAGGGATAGGATTGTTTCTGGTGCCTCAGCATCTCCCTTGTTCCCCGGCTCCTGATTGGCCAGCCCCGACCTAGACTTCCAGGCATTCCTCCCTTCCCCTCAGCGCCCCCTGTCGGCTTCCTCCGCCTGTGCCAGCCCCAGGCCCGCGTGTTCCTTCCCGAGTGTCCACAGCGGGCACCCACAGCTCCTCTCCCTCTGCTGCTCCCCGCCGGGAAGCACCTTCTTCTCTCGAAGGTCCTGCCCCCTTGGGTGGTTCTCCAGGTCTCTCTGCTCCCCCGGGGTTCCGCTGAAGAGAACATGGGCCAGCTGGTCCCTCCTGGTTACCTCTTGGGTCTGTGTGTGATGTCCAGAGCCCCACTCCATGACCCTCTTCTTCCTGCTGCAGGAGGAGGATCCCTTTGAGGTGCTGGTACATAGCGTTGGTGTGTGAATCAGCGATGTTTGAGGGACTTCTACGTGGGAAACGGGAAGAGGTAAGAACCTCGAACCCCAACTTCCAGCCTACCCAAAGGGGTTGGGTCCTGCCCCTTGGTCACCCTGATGGACCCTTGGGGCTCATTTCAGATAGTGCAGGTGGGGGATTTGCAGCCCATCGGGACCCCAGTGTGAGCCCCAAAGTCCCTAGGGAACCCCAGGCCACAGGGATGGGGGTGCTCTGGGGGGAAGGGCTGGAGCTGGGCTAGGGGGGCAGCCCGGGTGGGACTCGTGTCCCTGTGACAAGGCAACCCACTCTTTCTCCTCAGGGGACTCTCAGCCGACTCAAGCCCAGACCACTGTTGGGCAGCAGGAATTTCCCCGCAAGTCTATGCCGCCCGTGCTGCCCCTTCCTGCTGGCGGACAGAGATTTAATAAAGGGCTGGACTCCAGGTCTGCATCTGTGTTTGTTTTTCTCTTGCAGGATGTGGATCCTTCTGTAGAAGCACGGGGACAGGCCCATCATAATGGGCATGAACAGGACCCAGGGCCCATGGCCGGCTCTGTGTGTCCAGCGGCTGTGACCAGGTGCGGCCCCGGTGCCCACTACTCCTGCTGCCCCTGCAGGATGTGCCCGTTTTCTCGGCTCTCCTGTCTCTCCCCGTCTCTCCTCTGTGGCTTCCACTGCTCCCGCCCGGGGCTCCTGCTTCTCCCCACAGGGTCCTACACAGGCCTCTTGGGCCTCTGTCCCATGCTCCCACCCCACTCATCCATAGGCTCCCGCGGGGTTCCAGGAAAACATGATTAGCTGAGCTTCCTCACACTGAGCCCACTGATTGGTTGCTGGTGGGTCAAGTGACCCACTCAGAGCCTCCACTGGGCTCTGAGTGCAGAGCATAGCCCTGGGCTTCACCCCCAGTGTCAGTTATGTTGCCTTGAAGGGGTCGTGTGCTGTGAGCCCTATGGGGGGCCCTGGCATGGGGCAGACTTGTGGGGCCAAGGGTAGCACCAATCTGGGCCACTAGAGATTAGCAGGAGTCGGGACTGTACCCTGGAGACGTTCATCATGCTTGTAGGATTGCTTTCCTGGGTACATCTTGCTATAGATCCCAGACTACAGTGTTCAGGCCAGATTAATATTTCCTAACCCTAGCAGGGTCCTAATCCAGTTGTTGCTCTTTGGATCATGACAGAATTTGTCCCATGGCCATGCTCTTAACTTACAGTTAAGTATGATGGCACTTGACCTGGCCCATTTCGATGCTAGGGTAGCTCACAGCTTACTGGTCAAGCCAGTCCCTCTTTGGGAACCTGCTTTGGGGATGCTAGGAAGTAAGGACAAGTAAGGCTTAAGTCGAGAAAACAGATGCCCAGGAGTGAATGTTATTCAGAGTCAATTAATTCCCAACTTACAAAAGCATTCCGAAGTCACATCGGACACAGTTCTTTGTCCAACATTTCCTTACTCAGCTGACTATCATCCAGTGTGTAAAAGAGTTTCTTTTATGATTACCTTTCAGTATCTATATAGCAAACCAAGGTGGCCAAATAAAAAAAGGGGGGGCGGAGAAGGGGAGGGAGAGAGAGAGAGAGAGTGTGTGTGCACAAGAGAGAGAGAGAAAGTGCCTGCCATAGGAGGAGAGGACACGGGTGGGAGAGAAACGAAGGAATGGGACATTGCTGGTGGTGGGAAATTACACAGATGAAGGGACAGTTGTTGGAACATTGTATGACTGAAACCCAGTCATGAACAACTTTGTAAATGTGTATCTCTCACGGTGATTCAGTAAAAATAAAAGAGTTGCTTCATCTATTTGGTTTTCTAATTTTTAATAATGGATGGCTATTTCCTTTAGGAGAAGAATTAGAAGTTCACAAACTACCAAGTGTTTGATTTTTTTTTTTTTTTTGCTTTTTGGGTCACACCTGGGTTTGGGGAGCGATAGCACAGCGGGTAGGGCGTTTGTCTTGCACGCGGCCAACATGGCCGACCCAAGTTCGATTCCTCCGCCCCTCTCGGAGTGCCCGGCAAGCTACCGAGAGTATTCGATATGCCAGACACAGTAACAACAAAGTCTCCAATGGAGACGTTACTGGGCCCGCTCGAGCAAATTGATGATCAATGGGAGGGCCTTTACTTTACCTTTACTTACTTTATTTTTACAAAAGCATTGCATGAACTGTCTTCCTGTGTCTAAACAGAAAGGACATTGATCCAAAGTAAACTATGCAAAAGGATATAAGGGAAGGAGAAAAGCAGTACTTCACGTACAAATACAAATCAACAGTCTGATTTGGGTATTAAGTTGATTGATCGGTTGGGGAAGCAGAGTACAAAGAGGTTAAATCTAAAAACAGAGGAATGGGCTCTTCACTCCTGACGCAGCGCCCATCTCATCCCAAACCCAGGTTAGCTCAATTGACGGCTCGCGACCCTGGGACTTCCACCTCTTTCTGCAGGACCCCAGGTGTCTCCCAAGACGCCTGGAGAGAAGCAGTTTTGAGCATCTGCCCTGCCCTCTCCACTCCTGACGCAGAGCCCATCTCATCCCAAACCCAGGTTTCTGTAGAGGCGTGGCCTCTTCACAAGTGGGCGTGGCTTCAAACGTGGGCATGGCTTATTTTCCCGTGGGCGGCCGCTAAAGCGGCCATAGGTTGTTTAACCATACTAAGGAACTTAGTCCCCAAGGAATCTAGTTCCCAACCTACTCAGCAATATGAAGAAACAAAGAAAATCCCCACCACAAGGGGAGGACAACGAAAACAATCCAGAACATTCTGTCGATACAGCTCACCTAAGGGACCTCTCTGACATAGAATTCAGATACGAAGTCATGAAGATGTTCAATCAACTCAATGAAACAGTCAGACAGACAGCCAGTAACACCACAGAAAAAATCGACAAATTACACGAAGAAAAGAGGGCAGAAATATCACGATTAAAAGATTCCATAGAAGAAATGAGAAACTCAGTTTCTTCTCTTAAAAATAGAATGACCACAGCTGAAGAGAGAATCAGTGAGCTGGAAGATCAGCTGCACCAAGCCAACACGCAACAACAAACAGTGGCAAGGGACCTCAAAATAGCTCTACAGAGAATCAGAGTCCTAGCAGATGATTCCAAGAGGAACAACATTAGAATCACGGGACTACCTGAAGCTCAGGGAAATAATCCCAATGAAAAAAAACACCGTCAAACAAATCATTGCTGAAAAATTCCCAGAGCTCCACAATGCAGCCATTCAGGTTCAAGGAGCCCGAAGGGTGCCAGCTAAAAGAGACCCGAACAAAAACACTCCAAGACATATCATAGTTAGAATGATCGATGCTGCCGATAGAGACACAATACTGCAAGCAGCAAGAGCAAAGAAGGAAATCACATACAAAGGAGCACCCCTTAGATTCACAGCAGACCTATCAGAGGAAACCCTACAATCCCGAAGGCAGTGGCGAGATATAGTAAAAAAACTCACTGAAATGAATGCTTCACCTAGAATACTCTAACCGGCTAAACTCTCCCTCAAAATCAAAGGAAAGGTACACTATTTTCTAGATAAACAGCAGCTCAGGAACTTCATAGACTCAAAACCAAACCTAAAGCAAGGGCTAAAGGGGCTACTATAAAACAAGACAAACCCTACAACCACAACACACCCGCACAGAAAGATGACACAAAACCCCATAACCATTCTCTCTCTCAATGTCAACGGTCTAAATTCACCATTTAAAAGACACAGAGTGGCACAATGGATACAGAGACAGAACCCAACATTCTGCTGCCTACAAGAAACTCATCTCAACAGCCAGAGCAAACACAGACTCAAAGTCGAAGGATGGAAAACAATCCTGCAAGCACACAGCTCCCTCAAAAAAGCTGGGGTGGCCATACTAGTATCTGACAACATTAATTTCACTTTGAAAAAGATTAGAAGGGACAGTGAAGCCTATTTTCTCTTCATCAAGGGATACATACAACAGAAAGAAATCACACTCTTAAATGTATACGCACCTAATGAGGGAACAGCTAAATATTTAAAACAACTGCTAACAGATTTTAAGGAGGACATCACTACCAACACAATAGTACTTGGAGACTTCAACATCGCCTTATCACCTCTGGATAGATCAACAAGAACAAAACCCAGCAAGGAATTATTGGCTTTGAAAGAAGAAATAGGAGAGAAAGGGCTTATGGACCTATACAGGGCCTTACACCCCAAAAAGAAAGAATACACATTCTTCTCCAGTGCGCACGGAACATTTTCCAAAATAGACCATGTGCTAGGACACAAAACATACCTCAACAGAATCAGGAAGATAGAAATAGTATCAGCCATCTTTTCAGACCATGATGCACTGAGGATAGAAGTGAATCACACAAAGACACAGAGAGGCAAATTAAACAGCTGGAAATTAAACAACTCCATGCTGAACAACGAGTGGGTCAGGAACGAAGTCAAGGATGAAATCAAAAGATACCTGGAAACAAATGAGAATGAAGACACAAACTACCAGAACTTATGGGATGCAGCGAAAGCTGTATTAAGGGGAAAATTTATAGCTCTGCAAGCATATCTTAGGTCGATAGAAACGATGCACATAGACAACTTGACCTCACAGCTCAAGACCTTAGAAAAGGATCAACAGAAAGAGCCTAAATCAGGCAGAAGGAAAGAGATCATAAAACTTAGAGCAGAAATCGACGACATGGAAAACAAAGAAACAATCCGAAAGATCAATGAAACCAAGAGCTGGTTCTTCGAGAAAATAAATAAGATAGATAAACCACTAGCAACACTCACAAAGAAACAGAGAGAGAGAGAGAGCCCTAATAAATCGAATCAGAAATAAGAATGGGGATATCACAACAGAAACTAAAGTAATTCAAGAGATCATCAGAGACTACTTTGAAAGTCTGTATGCCAGGAAACATGAGAAACTAGAAGAAATAGATAAGTTCCTGGTTTCCTATCATCTCCAAAAGCTGAATCAAGAAGATATAGAGTACCTGAATAGACCTATTCACATCAAGGAAATTGAAACTGTAATCAAAAGTCTTCCCAAAAACAAAAGCCCAGCTCTGGAAAGAAAGATGGCGGCCGCACGGGAGCCTTGTGGAAAGCAGGTTTGAGCCGGGCTCGGGGGAGCGGCGGGGACCTCATGGGAAGGGGGGCTTTGTGGGCCGTCCCCCACGCCCCACCGAGGTCGCCAGCTGCCCCCCACGAGCGGCTCTCCGGCACGGCCACGGCCCTGGAGGCACAAGGACTTAGCACAGAGAACCAGCCGCTTGGAGCAGAAAAGCAAATGGACTTGTGTTGATCCGCGCCACCAAGCCTGCCCGGAGGGGGAAGGGCGTTGACCGGCCCGCCCGCTCCTCTCTGGAAAGAAAGATGGCGGCCGCACGGGAGCCTTGTGGAAAGCAGGTTTGAGCCGGGCTCAGGGGAGCGGCGGG